AACTGACTTGTGGAAAAGTGTCCTACATTAAGGGGAGGGAGAATAAATTCACGAGTCCTTTTCATCTTTTGTATTCTTCCGAATGGGGGTGGGGGCATGGAAGGAATAAAGGAGAAAGGCAAAAACCTTACCACCAGGCCCTACATAATTTTCTCTTGACTAATACTGGCTGACCTCCATGCCGTCCATCATGGCAGGCCTCTAAAAGCTGCCTTAATTACAGGGTGCAATTGTACGTCCAAATTGACTTCGGAACTGATCAATTCCCAGACAGGTCAATGCCCCCTTGAACTGATTTCTCACAGGCCTGCGCACTTTAGTTCCTGCTCTACCGATGCTCCTCCATAACTATGGGATTACATCCCAATAAGCCCATCGTTAAGGTTAAAGTTTAAAATATCGTTAAGTCAAAAATGCATTTAATACGCCTAACCCACCAAACATCATGGCTTAGCTCAGCCTTCCTTAAACATGCTCAGTACATTTACATTAGTCAAACGTTGGGCAAAATCATGTAACACAAAGCCTATTTTATTAAAAAAAGAAAAAAAAAGTGATGGTTATCTCATGTAATGTACTGAATACTGTACTGAAAGTGAAAAACAAAAGTTGCATGGCTACTCACCATTAACGTGCACAGCTGAAAGCACACTGGGCCTGAAGAATGTTTGAAGCATTAAACTAAAACAAAAAAAAAAAAACGCTGGCAACACAGCATACTGCAGAATACGCGGGTTTGCCCTCCTGCTCGCCCGGCTGACGGGGCTGCAGCTTAGTTCCACTGCCCAGCTACTCAAGAGTATGGAGAAAGCATCACGAGAGTATCGCACTGCACACCGCTAGCCTGAGAAAAGATCCTAACTCAAAATAAGGAATCTGCTGAATGTTTATTGCTTGCACACCATCATAAAGTCAAAAAATTAAGTCAAACCATCATAAGTCAGGGACCATCGGTAGTAAGACCTCACTGCAGGCAGCTCTTTTGGGCCGAGTCCCATCAAGACTGTTCAAGAGCGTCACATTGCTTGACATCTCATAGCATGGGAAATTCTCATCTTCAGATGTTGTAAATGCAACTAACTCCTCTAAGGCTTCCTGTTTGTGCATTGTGGTGCCTAGGCTAACTTCAGGAACCCGATTCTGTCTGTGTTCCTTTCCTCCCTCAACATATTGGGGTACATTCTCCATTCTGATGGGACTGACCTCAACAAACACTCAATTAGGGAGGGTATCTCCTATGTAAGGTATCTTCATTATTACCGTGATTTCTTAGAGCCTTCTCATTCAACTTGGAAGCAACCAGCCACGTTTTTTGTTTTGTTTTGTTTTGTTTTGTTTTGTTTTGTTTTGTTTTGTTTGTAACATTGTTTCTAATATCATTTCCTCTTTACAACTCTATTTGGGGATAATTTACTTACAGTACAACACACCATTTCAATACGTACAGTAAAACAATTCAAAAAAAGAGACTAACATTGCCATTGCAGGAAGTAGTTCCGCCACGCATGCCCTTTTTCAGATGTGGTATTAGCTATTTCTCCAAAGCTAATTAATTTCCTGGGTTAGGTAATTGCTCTACGGATATGTAAAATGTTAACATTAGGGGAAGCTGAGTAAAGCTTGTAGGGGAATTGTGTGTACTATTTTTGCAACTTTTTATAAAATTATAAAATTATTTTATAAAATTATTGCAAAATAAAGGTTAAAAAGAAAATCAGACAAGCTAAATCTAAAAAATAAAAATTAGGATGGCAATTCTTGAGGGTGATTTTTGTAAGCTAAATTAATTTCAGCTAGAACACTAAAATGTTTTGATCCAAAGCACTGATTCAGTTTTTAAAAATACATCTTTTATTTATTTTTGATGACTCACATATAATGTGTAAGTTAATGCTTATGGTTTGGGGTACAAAAAATACTGAAGGAGACTGAATATGTTGTAGTGAGGGGAAGAAGACATTACATCTCTAATTAATGTCCAATCTGATCTCTTTAAAAATTATTATACTATTCTGATAACCCAAAATGAATTAAATACAACCTTTCCAAAACACATTACTTTTGCAGTGTCAGATATTTCACAACCACCCATTTGCAACATGTATCCTACTTTTATAAATCTTATATATCCATCTGTCATACATGGAAACTATTGCGTGAAAAATTTTAGTATATATGTCATAATGTATGCGGTTTATCTTGAATTAAATACATCTGTTAAGATACCAGAAATCACCAGATTAACTAAATTACATTCACCAAATTCAAAAGTACACTGATTTTCCCTCTCCCAACCATCATAAGTACATGTATTCATAAACAGATAAATCATATTTCAAAACCTGTACCATTTAATAAGGCTAAACACTCAAAACAATCTAGTGCAGTCTGATTTAAAGACATGCATATACATTTTGCATAATTGTTTACAATAAAAATCTTGAAAAAAATAGTTAAAATTTTATTTATATTTTCCTCCAATTTACATAGCTAAATCAATTGTATACAATTCTTTCCAGGGTTTTACATTTGGATTTCCTTAATGTAGGAAACACATGTTAAAATAAAAGTTTTAAGACATATATGCAATTATGTACAAAAATCACCATAGGTCAACTTATATTATAGATTCAGACTTACATAAAAATCATTACAAATTGTGAAAAATGCATATTATGAAAAAATTTGTTCTAAAAGTAGTATACCAACCCATATAATCTAGGTGAATCCAAAAGTATAAACAAAGTTTATAAATTACAGTAGTGTCTACCATGCCCTATCATGAAAGGAGGTATTCCTTATAAACATGTATATTATAAATAAAAGAAACTGACTTCCTTCAAGTGCCAAAATTATTTTCACTTTAACCATTATTATAGTTTAAAATATATCATAAAATTGAGTACACAAAATACAATGAAACCCTTGATAACTAAAATTCATTATAAATGTCAGCTGTTTAGTGACTTGTTCATCAAACTATTTCTATTTATGGGGTGATTTTTTTCTTCTGATTACTGGTCTTAGACAAATATGTTTCCAAAGTTATTCTGTTTCCTTTCACTGTTGTTTACATCTCTATCAATGAATTCCTCAGGAATGCCATTATTTTGCATCTAGAAATTTTTCTATTTAATTCCTTGCTTCCGCGTATAGGACACAGAAAGCCTAAACTCTTCTTTAGCCTTGGCTCCAACAGGAAGCAGCATTTAAAATGTGTCTGGCTGAGTGGTTGGAAGATAGATACTGAATCGAGGTATCACGTGTGTCTGTGTGTCCCCCTGGTCTGCCTTGCGTCTTTGGTTGCTATGAATTTCCTTCTTCCCAAATACCTGGGTTTCTGACTACACAGCTGGGTGCAACCATTGGTCTTTTTATGTTCCTGGGTTAATTAGGTCTGTCTCTCTGATTCCTGACCCACTGCTCTTCTAATTCTAATACTCAAGTGTGTTTGCTTGCCTAACTCTAATGCATTCCTTCTTGCAATTCAATTTATAAATGCTACTAGTTTCTTGAATCATCATTGGCCACAAATTACCATGAAACATAATCTCTTAAACTCTGTGAATTACTAGTGTTCTGACCCTGGTTTCCTAACAGGCCTTTACACTCAGTTTGTTATTCTGATCACAGTGCTTATAAAAAAGCTAATCTAGGGGAAAGCTAATAATAAATCTGATTAAATGAGCTACTTTATTTTATGAAAATTTCAAATGGGTATAAACATCAACATTTTTCTTAATCAGTAAAATTCTTGACCAAGTAGAAATTATTTTTGTTGATGTTCACTGATCCATTTCCTCTACATTCTGAGTAGAAAAAGTTGGCCAGAGTCTAACCTGAATAAATGGAGTGTTGTAATGTTATCATATGTGTGACATACTTTATCTTTCAAACAAATGGATCAATTAAAGAGTCGAGTTTGTTTTAAACAAACAACAATGATACACACCTACTACTATAAACAAAGCACTATTTTAGGTAGTATAAGTAATGAACTAGGTAGTCAGTTTTTAAAATGATAAAAATTAACATACTGAGTATCTAAACATTAATCAATAGTTCATTAAGAAATCTTTTCAAAGAAAGCCAATAAAATGTACCTAAGCTGCTGGAACAAATAAAAGAAACCTTTTTGGGCCGGCCAAGTGGCTCGTTGGTTAAGAGTTCACTTGGGAGTGCGGGCTCTGAGCAGCAGGGCCGCCTGTTCAGAATGCACATGGGCCAGGGATGCTGCGCCCTCTACAGCTAAGATGGTGAACAACAGCTCGACCTGGAGCTGGGCTGCCATGAGTCGCCGGCAACAGCATAGGCTGCAGTGGGTTGCAATGAGCTACCGTGAGCTGCTGTGAGTGGCTGTCCAATGGCCAGCGAGCAACTGCCTCACCCGGGAAGAGCGCAATGATAATACCAACATGGGCAGGTGAAGCGACGTCCTCCACAACTAGACTGAAGAACAAAAGGACAGCAACTTGTCTATTCCCCTTTTCCAATTCCCCAGCGCTGTTCCCTCTCACAATTCCCCAATAAAATCTTCAAAAAAAATAAAATAAAATAAACCTTTTTGTATCTATTGGCACTTTTCTTACTGAAGCTGGTACTTTCCTCTGAAAGACATGTAATTGAATAACACTGTCACAGGTTCATAAGAGGTAAGTGTTAAAAATCAGCAATATCAACAAATAATCTCCTGGAATTCTTGAGTTAAAGTGAAAATAAGTGTATGCAATACTGATACTATATAATGGGGCAGAAAAAAGATAATTAACTTATATTCTAATAATTCAGTTACTTTCTAAGATAAAGGACAAATTAGCATATGTAAATATAAAAACAAATAATATAATTTAGGTGGTTTTAAATTCATCGGCTTTCAATAATAGTTTTTGAAAATCATCACATAAATTTGACTAGTTTAATTTTTACACCATAATTTTTTTAAATAAGCCCAAACTACTGCAATGATAATTAAAATAAAACAAGTTGTAAGAGGGTTAGAAATATCACTGTTTTTAAAATGTAAAATTTTAATTTAGCGCTTTTTTTCTAATTTAGTTTACTAGTTGGGGATATCATATCTAGACAATGGGAAATGTGTGTGTGCATGTTTTGAGGCTACTGGTGGGCTTGAAAGGCACAGGTGTGTTTCTTGCATTTAAATAAAAACAAGTAAGAGTTAAAAAATATACAGAAAACAGACTTAATTACAAAATATCAATTTTTAAAGTGATTGTCCATATTTGGTAGATAATGCTGCAATGACAATATGCGTTGTTACAAATGGATGCCAATTTTCCAACTGTAAAACAGTCTCCTCTTTCTATTTCACCCTTCATTTCCTGCTTTGTTAAGGTCGCATTCTGCTGAAATAGCAGTCACAGTGGCATTCGAATTTTGAAATGACACATCTGTGTCTAATGGTGGTGGTTTATACAAAAAGATTGCAAGTCCATTGAAGCAAATGGTGATAATTTTACATGTAACACCTAAATATAAACAGAAAAATTAATCATGCATTTGGGACTTTACTTATTAAAAAAACTAATTATCATTGAGAAATTCTTTACAAATAGAAACTCACTACTTTAAAGAGAAGGAGTTCTCTCATTATAGTTCTATGTTATAAATTTTTAACACTTGAGATAGAAAAATGATATTCTTCAATTAAAAAAGTATTCATTTCAATGAACAAGCCTTTATTTTCATTTTAAACAATAAAAATGTACAATACTTATTCTATTCTTGGTTATAATTGCACATTCTTGTAAAACAAGTGTTGTATAGATTTAAATAAATTCATGTTCCATTTCTAAATTTATTAACACAATATCATATTTATAAAAAAACTGCAAGCAACCAAAAGTCAATGACAAAGAAAAACAGCTTACAACATCCTTGAATCTTAAATAAAGTTGTAGAATTTTCATGTTCATGATAGAAAATAATTCTAAAAATAAAAAAGCTTTGGAGTTCTTAGGAGAAAGCCCAATGAGAATATATTACATTAAATATGCAACCAAATTTACTTTTAATTATCAACTAAAAATACAAAACATTAAGATTCATTTTACTAGCTTTGATTTGTTTTCAAAAAACTCTGATTTTGAGCTCAGCAATATGAAGATAAACTAGTTCTGGTCACAGGACAAGCTTTTAAATTCCAGTCAAATAAGCTCAATGGCCTTACAATGAAGTTTTTACTTAGCTTATTTGTTTGTATTACTTATTAATATTTCACTAAAAATTTGTATTTTAAAATGCGAATGCTCATTTCCAGGTATATATGAAAATTAATTATAAAGTTATATAGGTTTTGAGAAAAAAATTATCATATCCATTAAAAAGTAGGAAAAGGAACAGTTTATTATCTGTATCTTTTGGTCAAAGAATACAAACATAACCAATTAAATAAATATTTATACATAAAAACATGTTGAATAAAAAGTGTTTTTTAAACAAGTAAAAGTGGTGACAAGATTAATTGTGCCTATCCTAGTCAATATTTACTCTCCCATTGCTGTTTTGGATTTATGTATTTATTTCTTTAATGGATATTTTACTTCTCTGTCATAAGTTCAGACAGCATACTCTAGGTTTAAACACATGTGAGAGCAATAAGCTATCTAATACATATGCCAAAATAATTGTGATCACAGGTGCAGTGAAAAGCACATGTTATATATTTACATATTTTTTCTATCTGGGATTTCTGTATTTTTAAATATTCTAATTTCTTAAGTTGTTTTTAAATTTTTTTCCCTCTTACAAACTAGATGCATTGTTCTACTTCCTTAATCTTAATTTTCATTTATTGTTTAGCCAAAACTATACAAGACAGGCTGCCAAAGGTAAAAGGGGTTAAATATCATGGCTCACCTTCTAAACTACAAAAAGATTTCTTATAATGTGCCTTAGAGCCAAAGGACGCTTCCCTACCCCAGCTCTAGGTGCTTTCCAAAGCCCAGGTACCTAGATGATAATCATTCCCGAGTTTCTCAGGATTCTCTTTTAGTTTTTGTTAGACTTCCCAAAAGAAAAGTTTGACAGAAGTTGTTAAAGAAAGTTATATGATATGTGATGTTATGAAAGCTAAAATATATTCTCTTCTATTTTAGACTGAACCTTGCAGACTCCAGGTAAAGCCTTTCATAACATGTTATGACAGCTATCTCTGCTTTCAGGGCTAAAGGAGAGCCCAACCACATGGACTGAACATACCAAAACCTAAGTAAGTAACAATAAGATTTTTTTTTTCCTATTGACATTATCGATTGACACTAAAATTATCAAGAAGTCATCACTTACTTATAGCCACTAGCATATAGGCCATCTTGATGTTATCATAAGTCCAGCAAGCTCCTTTAATTCCACATTCATTAATATCCCAGAGAATACATGTGCTGTCTATTGTGACACCAAAAATAATTGGTCCAGGTATTGAGCCTAGAAGAATGATATGTAAAACACACATGTTATATAAACTGTAATTTTTACATTCATGGCTATACAAGTATTTTATAGAAATAAGAATAGGTACTTATCTATCCATTTATAAATCAATTGGTTCATGTATAAGTAATAGGAATATAAAGAAACATAGGTAAAACATTCTATAATAATTATACATAATTATAAATTCCTAATCAATCCAAAAAATGATTTTAATAAAAATCTCTGGCATATATTAGGTTAATATTCAGTTAAGTAAATATTTTAATTTACTGCTTTTCTAATTTAATAATTGTGTCTTTGAATTTAGCTATTATACTTTAAAAAAATAAAAATCGGGCCCGCTGAGTGGCTCACAGTTAGTTAAGAGCTCGCTCAAGAGTTTGAGCTCTGAGCAACAGCAGTTCGAGTCCCAGCCCAAGCTGAGCAGCCGCTGAGCTGCCAACAGGTGGCAGGATGGCTCAGCTAAAAAAAATAAATAAATAAAAAATAAAAATCAATTAACAATGCACAAAATAAGTCTGCTAAACTACAGTATGTGTGTTATGTGTACGTATGTGTGCATGTATATATAAACTAACATGGGCATGTGTATACATATACGTTACATACACACACTGACATGTATGTGAGTGCAGGAGAATGCACATGTGTACACACACACAAACATTACTAACATGCCTAGGAGTACTACCTTCTCAGACACACACACCCTCCCCTGAATGAGATCAGGAGGAACTAAACTTTCATTTAGTTAAGAAGCTTCCAATTGTTACACATCCAATACATGATTTGTAGTGGTATTTCTTAGACAAAGATTTGAGCCTGTTCTTTCATGAACCGCAGCATGACAGAGTCAAAAGACCACTGGACTGAGAGAAAGGAGACCATTTTCCTACTCTCATGTTGTGTAACTACGGGCAAATCCCTGAATCTCTCAGGGCCTTAATTTACTCTTGTGAAAAATGGGAAAGTTGGTTGAGGTGATCTCTAATGCTCCCACTTTTGGTTTTGGTTTTTAAAATGATCTGAAATTATGTGCATAATATTGTGCGTATAAGTACACATATATAATTATGTGTATAACATAGTGTTTCTCTCTGTCTTCTTATCCTTCCTACATCTGGAATTATAAAATTTTCTGGTATAAATTCTCTCTTCCATCAATTCTTGACTATTTTTCATTGCTAATGTCACATAATTGTGGCCCAAATGGAGATAAATGCAGGGAGAAAAGGGATTCTAGTAGTTATAAATAAGACATTATCATAATATATGTTGATGATAGGTTTTATACAAATAGAAAAAAATTGTCTTTTACTATGTTGTATTAGAAATGCATTGGTGATCATATATTTCAAAAAAATATGATATGCTCTTTAAGGTTATATTTGCAAAAGAATTCAAAACAATAGCTAACCAATCAGGTAGGCAAAAAAGTAAAGTGATTGTTTTCATGTGTGAAATATAAGTAATACTACATTTTGAATACTGGAAAACAGCTTTCTTAAATGATAATTATGTAGTTTTTCACTGCATTTTAATTAATTATTTTCTTGGAACATATCATAAATGAATAAATCAGTAACACTAATGAACAAAAATTCTCAAGTTACCAATGAAGCAAGAAAAATGGCATACCTAATAATCGAAGCATCATAAACTGTATTCCCAATGCTAGAGAACGTTGCTTTTGGTTAACACACCTGGTGATATTAAATACACATGAGACCAAAAATGGTTGTATAGTATATTTGCTCTTTAAGCAAATTCATTTTTATCCTAGGTTAGCATTCCTATATTAAAGTAAATGTTATGCACGTAAAAGAAACAAGTTACTTATAATAGCTCATATACAGTTCAATCATTCTGGAATCATAAAAAAAGAAAAATGTTATCTGAACTAAAATACTATAAACCACACCACAGAGTCAAATAAATTTTTAAAAATATACTGAATATGCATGAATTTTAACAAATGTAAAGGAGAAAGGACATTTATTAACAAGCCCTATTTTTGACTATCAATCACATAAGTCACAGGTCACGTGACTGAAGTCTCACGCAAATAATTTCTACTCTAATTCTTACTAACTTTGAGACAGAAATCATACCTATGAGATTAGAGTACAATTTGAGAAAACATAAAACAGTTGCTAAAGCTCAATCTGATTCAACAATAATTCTTTAAGTAACTACTGTCAAAAATGATTGAGACATGATGTTGGCACACCAGAGAGTGAGATGAGACATAAAAGAGATCAACTAATCTTTGGAAACAAATACGCAATTAAAAGGTGACATAGACAATTTTTCTAAAATTTTAAAAAGCATATTCTTTATTCTCTAAATAACTCCAATTTTCATGTAGTGTAATGTTAACCGACTAATGTTTTTAGACAGAATCTCTAAAACTTTCATTTGTCAAAGAAGTTTGTGAAGACGTAGTGAATGAGTATCAGGGAACAAAAATTGAAATGGAAGAAAGCTAGAGTTTGTTAGGAAAGATATAGAAAGGCTGATGAGCTTATGGAAGGACAGATAGGACATATTTTCACAAAGCGATGTAGGAGGCACAAAACACTGAGAAGAGTCAGATGACACCAGCTTCTTATCTATTATTAGCACAGGAAGCCTCAATGTCACAGCACCTACTATATAAGATAGAATGCATGTCATCCTGACTTTGACATACATGGAGTATTTCCATAATACTTAAATACAAATAAACGTATCTCCAGCTTACAACTGAAGCCTCATAAATGAGGCAGGGAAAGTATAAAATCAAGTATATAACAGGTGGCAGTATTAGGACATTTTAACATACATGATCTCATTTAAACCTCAACATCTGAGGTTCAATGAGGTAGCTTTTCTAATGCCACAGAACTAATAATCTTGTAATGGCTGAATTGGTATTGGAAACAATGGTCAATATAAACCCCAAAAGGAACCCCTGAGTTCATTTTCTTTTCACTCAACATGTTGCCTTAGGGATGGCAAATTTCAAAATACAATACATACCTTAGAATGGACACAGTTATAGGAGTACCAGCCATAAAGGTAAAAACAATTGCAGCAAAGAAAATGGCAAGGAACATGGGCAAATGTGTACATCGAGTTTCACATTTTCCAGCTTTAGCTTCAAACCCAAAACTTGCTGCAGTAGGTGTTATTTCTGTTTTCATTCCAATACAGGAACAGTTGTAATATATCTAGAAAATAAGACAAAAATACTGAAAGGGCCTATCTTGAAAACATGTTTTATCATTGTAAATTACGTGATCTCTAGATATAGCACTCTTACACAGCCTTAATCCATCTATACACAACAAATAATGCTGAGAAAGTGTAATTAACCTGAAGAAATTAAGCAAGGGAAAACAAGGGGCCATATTTATGAAATAGAATCATCTATATTTAACTTTTGAATCCATTACTTCAACTTGAAACCGATTAGTGACTCATGACTCATGAAAAAATAGACAAGAATATAACAATTACATGATCACACACATTCTAGACTGTTCTGAATAGATCATAATTGTTCAGTTTTCCTGCTAACTTTCTTCTTTTTGACTATAGGATGTAAAGAAAATGCATAGTGGCAATCTCTATTTACACTAGTTTAAAAGAACAAACACTATAATTTCAACAAGTGATACAGTAAAATGAAAATGTTACAGAGTTTGGGAGAAAAATGCTGCTTTCAACTAAACCTTTTTACTATAATTTTCTGAACTTTTTTAACTGCTTTACAAAAGCAAACTGTACCCTTCTTAAGATGATGTATTTATATGACAAATAAAAACTAGAAGACATATTACCCAGAAGGCTATTTTATATTACAAATAACATATTAACTACTTAAATACACACACACACACACACACACATATATATATATATATATATATATATATATATATATATATATACATATAAATTAATAATATGAAATGTTGGAAGGTAACATGTTAAAATTATCACAAGTATTACTTTTGTATGAAAAAACAGATGTTTAAAAAGTTAGGCGTAATGATTTTTTAAAGGCCTTGTACATCTCAAGTCTATCTTACTATAAATATTTGTACATGTTTAAGGCCTCAACAAAGTCAGACCAGAGCCAGAGAAGTCAGAGGAAAGCAGTGTATTTATTGTTCTGAAGACCAGAGACCTTTTTTGGGTGCTACACGTATTCTTTAACCACTGGCACTAATTCAGCACACCCAAATATGCTGAGTATACCCCCTAAAATGGACTATTTTATACTCAGCAATCAAATAATGAAGCAACATAGCCTTTAAAAATTTTAAGATGGAAAACTGAGGACAGTTATTGTCTGTCTTGATGAAACTTGACAACTCTCTTACATAAAAAAGTATATGTTTTACTCAATATAGCTAGCTGTGTTTTAGTAGTTTGGGCCACTGCTGTGAAATATAAAACTAATATTTCTCTGAACAAATGTGCATAGGTGTTTACTACATTATCATCAATGCATTTTTGCCTAGCTGAAATATTCCATAAGAAAAAAAAATGCTGTGAAAAACTGAGTTGTTACATGGAGCATTTGGACATAAAAAAGCCAGGACAAAAAGAAAATTTGGAAGTGAAAAATAAGTTGCTTTTCCTAAATAACCCCAGAAGACAATGTATTGTTTAAAATGGCAATTATAATAATTGGCAAAAAATATAAATATCAAATTAACCATATCAAAATAATCAATACCATTTCTATATAAAGTGTATTCTGGTAATTAAATTTTTATTATTATTTATTTATTTATTTTTGGTTTCCTTGTGTAATACAGTATTTCTATCTATATATTTTATTGTTTAAGTAAAACCCTTCCAATAACTTAACTCCTTGTCATCTTCTAATTAGAGTAAGTCAATAGCACTTATTGATCACACTTTATATGCAGGAAAATCTACCTACTTATCTACCTCTCAGAAGAATAGTTACCTTCCAGGTAGTTCTGATTCTATAATATGCATCATGTGCCTTATAACACACATGAACACCTAATTTTCTCAACCTGTTTTGAAACTAAAGCAATCCCGTATGTCCACTGGTGTGAATGTATGATAACCCTCAATTCTGAGACCTTAACAATGTTTTTGTTAACTGTCATAGGCATTTCATGGTACTGATCTAATTAGTTTTATTCCAAGGATTAAAACTGCACATATGTCATCCAAGTCTATCAGGTCTACTATGATTCACCACAGACATTTTTTCTGACATATTTTTCAATGTTCCTAGATGGTCACTTTAAAATCTATAAGCTAGGTAATAAGACAAAATGTGCATTGTTTTTCACATTCTGGTTTATCCCCAACAAGAAGATCAAATTCCAGTCTGTTGAGATAAACGTTTAATGTATTTATTACACATAAAATAATTAAAGACGCAAATATATGCACAAACATATACAAATGTGCATAACTACATATACATACACACACCCATATAAACATATTTATAAATGTGTACAACCACACACACATCCATTAGTTTCAGAAGAAATCTGAAGTAATTTTATAGACTATTGCAAATAATTATTTCTACTTATTTATGTAAAAATCTTTTTTCCTGCAATCTTAAGTTTATCTTTACATAGAAAAAGGAATGCCATTTCACTAGTCCATATTTCAAATATTCAAGATTGTGCTGTTTTGTCATCTTAGTCATTGTGGTATCTTATATCACAGTATGTATTTTCTTCAGGTCTTTTTAGTGTTTCCACATTATCTGTTAAAACATAGCATATTAGGGCTGGCCGAGTGGCACATTGGTTAGGAGTTGGCTTGGGACACCAGCTCTGAGCAGCAGGGCCCCAGTTCAGATCCCACATGAGGGCCAGTGACACTGCCCTCTACAACTAAGATGGTGCACAACAGCTCGACCTGGAGTTGGGCGGCCGTGAGTCGCCGGCAATGGCATATGCTGCCGTGGGGCTGGCCGGCAGCAGGCGTGAGCTTTTGTGAGTTGCCATGAGCCACTGTGAGCAGCCGTGAGCGGCCATCCAATGGCCAGTGAGCAACTGCCTCACCCAGGAAGAGCACAATGATAATACCAACATGGGCCAGTGAAGCAACGTCCTCCACAACTAGACTGAAGAACAAAAGGACAG